GGGTGGGGCGGGGGACAGCTGCGGGGGCTCAGCTGCCGAACAGCCTTGGAAGCGCCTCCCAGGGATGAGGCCTCGGCGGGGCAAGGTGCCCCGAGTGGGTGAGATCCCCAGGTGGTCAGGGCGCAGGCTCGGACCAGGGCGAGCAAAGTGCAGGTGATGACGGTAAGCCGCAGCCCTGGGTGGCCTGTGACAGATGAGGGATCCGAGGGCCAGGGGCTGCACGGTCCTCACACAGCACCCAGCCCTGCGCCCAGCACCCCGGGCCACTCACTGGCTTCTCGGGACCCGCCTCGGGATCTGTGACCTGGTCTCTTGGCCTCCAGACCTCCCACACAGCATGGCACTGTCTACCCAGACTGCCAGGCTGGGCCGTGGGCCAGCAGGGGCTGGTGGCTCGTTTAATGAGAAGGCTTCAAGGCCGCCCTCTATGGAAGCATCTGGAAGCACTGTGGACTTTCCCGGGCACTCGGGGTCACCTGCCTCTGGGCTGGGCTCGGGGCGTCTCACAAGCCCCTCCCGCGGGTGGTGTCGGTGTGAAGGCCGGGGGAGGGGTCCCAGGAGCGCAGGGCCGGGCCAGGCGCATGACAGCTTCTCTCTTCTCCCTGCAACAGGCAGTGGGGCCTGCAGCATCCCAGGCCTCCCGGTCAACAGAATCATCGATGTGGACCTTGTCGCTGGCTCAGCACTTGGGCTGGGGAGCAGCGTCCTGGGGGCGCGGGTGGGCCCCAGGAGGTCTCAGGCTGGCGGGCCCCCAGTGTCAGACCTCCCTGGCCTGAGCCCCGCCCATTGCGGGCCTGCCAAGCCCAAGGCCAGCACACACCACGCGACCTTCGTCTGAACCGCCTGGGCCTGGCCAGCTCATGTGGACTCCTTGGGGGATGGCCAGGACGTGTCCCAAGGGCCTTGGAGGCAAGAAACTGCACGCTGGAAGGACTGGCCTCGGACACTCGCCACGTGGACCGCAGGGCTCTTTGGACCTGGCCGTGATTCCCACACCCAGCCTCTGCCCAATAAAGCATTTCTGAGGACCCAAGTGTTACCTCATGCTGGCAGCTGGGGACGCAGACGCCGCCCTCAGGACACCCTCTTTCACAAAGGAATCCGAGAACGTACGTGGGAGAGCGCTCCAGGGGCAGAAGGCACCCAGCTGATGCCAGGGCGACTTCCAAGAGAGGTAGCTTGGCTCTCAGGCCTGGGGTCAGGACCCCTCCCTGTGCACTCCAGTGGCAGAGAAAACAAAGGTGACCCGACGGCTCCAGCCGCTCTGCAGGGCCCCCCATGGAACCCCTGTCCTACCGACCCCTGGTGGCATCAGCCCCTCTGGCTCCCCACAGGGTGGCCAGGGCTCTTCTGGGAGGTGTGCTCGGCAGGTCACATGGCCTGCAGCTACCAGCAGACCTCCTGCCTGGGCACTGCACCCACTGGGGCTCTTGCTGGCACCGTGGGGACCCTGCTGGCCACTGTGTCTGAGCCCCTGCCCTAGCCTTGTACAGAGGGGTGATCTGGGAGGGCCTCTCGGGGGAGGGACGATCTGAGATGACACCTGGAAGGCAACTAGGCCAGTGCCAAGGCCCTAGGGCTGGAGCAAGTCTGATTACAGGATGGAACCTGGGCGGGAGGGACAGGGCCACACGGGTTGGGTCGGGGTGGACAGAGCCTTGGCCCAGGTGGCCTCAGGTGCGGAGGGGCCTGTCAGCACACCACCCCAGAGACAGCAACGGTCCTGGTGGGCTTGTCAGAGCATCCTAGGGGCCTGGGGGCTCAGCACGGCCTTTGGGTTGTTCTCGCGGTTTCCAGGAGGGGACCCCAATAAGCGTTCCTGGGGGAGGCGTCAGGATGAAAGATGGGCCCAGGACCAGCCGCGTGCCGGGCGCCCACTGTACCCCTGGCGTGCCCACATCCACTGCCGTAGCACCCACTGTGCCCCAGCACCCACTGTGCCAGCTGCTGACTCAGAGAGCCCGTGGCACCTCGGTGGCTGCTCAGAAATTGCAGAAGAGGTCCCTGAGGCGGCTCTGCCCACAGCCCCCAGGTCATGCATGCCGTGCCTGCAGCTCCAGCTGGAGGGTGGTGCCCCAGCGCAGGCCCTTGGGCTTGGCCCAGGGCTGTGCTGGGCCCAGAGATTCCCAGAAACAACCTGCCTGGCCCATGCTCAGGCTGGGGGAGGGGAGGTAGACCTGGCCTGGGCCATCTGGGCGTCGATGGGGGGGGCCTGGGGCTGGGAGGGCTTCCTGGAGGAGGTGCCTGAGCCTGTCCAGGAGAGGCAGGGGCTCTCTGAACATCACCAGGGGCTGCTGGGGGGTTCTGGCCACTCCGAGGGAGGAGAGACAGGCCAGCAAGTGTCCCCATGCCCGGGTCGTTTGTCTGTAGCACTCAGCCCAGTGCGTGACCCCCCTCCTCTCCATGCCTAGCCTTTTGCAAGCCGTGGGGTCGCACCTCACTTCCAGGAGCCCCCGTGCTGCCATCTATGGAATGAATACAGTGCCATCCCCACCTATACTGTCTGTGCTGGGCTGGGCACAGGCCTGGAGCCACTCAAAGGCTGGGCACTCGGTAGAAGTTCTTGTTCTCAGTAGTTCCCAGACAGTAGCCAGCTCTGTGGCGGGCAGGGACTGGAAGCAGGACCAGGGGATCCAGCCCCCAACTTGTCCAAGTTATCCTGGAAGACTTCCCGGTGGAGGCTTCTAAGTGGAGGTCTGGAGACAGATTCAGGACCAGGATCGGCGCAGGCTGAGCCCAGAGTGGGACGGCTGGGCCTCCAGGCAGAGGCAGGGTGAGCCGGACAGCAGGTGCGGGAGCTGGACACGCCGCAGGGACACGTCCTCCCCAGGGCCCGGCCTGCCCGATGTGGCCCGGTGGGGGAGGCGGCCGGGTTAATCATTTCCACGTGGCCTTCACCTCCGCCCTGGTGGCCCCCGCCTCCCGCTTCCCCTCGGCCAGCTCAGAAGGAGTCATGGGGCACCGGGCCTGGGTCCCCGGCCCCTGCCCCCCACCCGGGCTGTGCCCCCTCCTGCTGCTGTTGCTGCTGCCTCCTGGGGCCCAGCCTCGGACCGGTGGGGTGAGCGCTGACCCGCTGCCGGTGGCCGTGGGCGCCCTGGACCCACTCTGGGAGCCTGGGAGGAGGCCAGAGGGGGAGGAGTCCTCACGGGGCAGGGATTGGGGGGCCGGGGCCCCTCGTGGGGGGCGTGGGTGGGGGAGCGGCCTTCGGGGGTGCAGCGGGTGCTGGGGCCCAGGGGCCCGGTCTGAGC